GGTTGCTCCTGAGCAGAGCCTCTTCCTCTGAACCACCCCTGGCTTGTGGGGACGATGCGGCGAAGGCCCAAAGCGCGGCTCTGGGATGCGGGACGTGCGTCCTGGTTACGTAGGGCAGCGCGCCCCGGGGTCGGTCGCCTCCCTCTCACGGGTGGGATCCTGCTCAGCACCCCCTGGCACAGTGGGTGCTTTTGGTCCCGGCAGCCCACGCTTTATTTTTGACGGCCGTGTGTTGCTCCGTGTCCTCCCCAGGTACTCGTGGTGCAGCCGGCGGCTGCTGGAGCAGCGGTACTCCTGGTCCAGCCACCTCACCCTGGGCGACCTCATTCCCCTGGAGAGCCCAGCAGGCGCCAGCTGTGCCAGCAAGCAGGACTGGCCGGAGAGAGTGGTGGTGGGGCACAACGTGGCCTTCGACCGGGCGTTCATCAAGGAGCAGTACCTCATCCAGGTGAGCCGGGATGCTGTTGCTTTGTGCTGGCAGCTGCCAGGTGTTACCTGGATCGTTGGTTGCGCTGGCTTCCCAGGCTTGTCTTGTACTCTTCTGCACAGATAGCCCAGGGTTGTGTTCACCTTATCCTGTAAGACAGGCCGAGGTGTGATCCCTGTAAGAGAAGATACTCTTGCATGCCATAAAGTTGCTGGAGGCTGCACGGTTGCAGGTGGGGATGTGGCAGAAGCCTCTTGACATCTGGCAGTCTGTGCTGGGGATGCTCTCGGCCCTCAGAAGTGGGGTGTTGGGAGGCAAAGCTTCGCCTCGACAAAAGCAGCCTGAACAGAGGACTTGCAGCTCTATAATTGGGGTGGCTCTTGCTGGCAGCTGCGGGAAGTTTACCAGCATGTTTCTCCTCCATCACGTTCCAAACCATCCCTTTATCTGTCTCCTGGTGTGTCCCAGGGCTCCCGGGTGCGTTTCCTGGACACCATGAGCATGCACATGGCCATCTCGGGGCTGACGGGCTTCCAGCGCAGCCTCTGGATGGCCGCCAAGCACGGCAAGAGGAAGGGAATGCAGCAGGTCAAGGAGCACATGAAAAAAACACGCAGCAAGATGGAGGGACCAGCAGTGAGTAAAGGAGCTGAGCCGCTGGCTGTGGTGAGGGTGGCAGGGACCGTGTGGTCCTGTGCTGGGGCCGTCTGCTCCTGCACTGGCAGAGCAGGAGTAGCCCCAAACTGGGGTGGGTGTGGTTTGAACCGGGGCAGCAGCATCCTTCCCCTGCCCTGCCCTGGGCTGGAGCAGGTCCCCTGACCACCCGGTTGTTGGCAGATCACCTCGTGGGACTGGGTGCAGGTCAGCAGCATCAACAACCTGGCCGACGTGCACGCGCTCTACGTCGGGGGCGAGCCCCTGCAGAAGGAGGCGCGGGAGCTCTTTGTGAAGGGGACCATGGCTGACATCAGGAGCCACTTCCAGGTGTGGTGGCTGTCCCGACAGCCCGGCGGGCAGCAGGAGATGAGATGAGCTGAGATGGGAGCGGGGCAGGAGCGGATGCTGGGATAGGTTCTGTCTTGCTGCCCTTTCGTGCAAGCGCTTTGGGTGTGCATGGGGCTGTGATCCCCCCGTCCTCCCGCAGCCCCAGTGCCTTGTCCTGTGCTGCTTGGCCTGCCCTCACCTGCCTCTGCCCCCAGGACCTGATGTCGTACTGTGCCCATGACGTCCAGGCCACCCACGAGGTGTTTCAGGAGCAGCTGCCGCTCTTCATGGAGAGGTGAGAGATTCTGGGCTCTGGCTGGCATTGGCCAAGGGGCTGTGGGCTAGGCTGGCAGTGAGGAAGATCGTGGTCCCTCTGGGGATGGGATGTGGCTCCTCTTGTCCTTAGAGTGGTGGTGGAAGGTTGGAGTGCCCTGAACCCCTTTTCAGGAGGGACTTCAGCCCCCCTCCCCTGCAGATGAGAAGGAATAAACAGCAGTACAGTGTGGGCGGAGGAGGTGAGCAGATATAGTGAGGCAGGTCAGGGTGGTACAGCTTTGGGGTTATTGCACAGGGTTGTTTCTAGGGCATGTCCTGATTTAACCCCATCAGGCAATTAAACAGCACCCAGCTGCTCGCTTGCTCCCCCTTGGTGATAAGAGGAATCAGAAGAGGGAAAAACAGTTCAATAGGTAAAACAAAACCCATGTGCACAAGCAAAGCAAAATAAGGAATTTGTCCACTGCTTCCCAACAGCAGGCAGATGCTGCACCTCCTCCAGGAGAGCCAGACTCTGTCACATGTGATGGTTGACGCATTGGGAAGGCAAATGTCATAACTCCAAACATCTTTCCCTTCCTTCTTGCTTCAGCTTTTTATGCTGAGTGTGATGCCATATGATCTGGAATATCCCTTTGCTCAGTTGGGGTCAGCTGTCCCAGCTGGGTCCCCTCCCAGCTTCTTGTGCATCTCCAGCCTGCTTGCTGATGGGGTGAGGAGCAGAAAAAGCCTTGGCTTGGGTGTAGGCACTGCTGAGCAATAAGGAAAACATCTCTGTGTTATCAGCACTGTTTCCAGCACAAATCCAAAACAGCCCTGCACTTGCTGCTGTGAAGGAAGTGAACTCTGTCCCAGACAGCCTGCAAAGGCTGGAAATTTATGTGCAGGGCAGGCACAAGATCTAAAGATCCTTATGGGTTTAGGGGAGGAGCATCAAGGGGTGCGTGGGGCTGGGAAACTCAAGGTGAAGACGTGTTCTGCTCATAGTCTGGTGCTTCCAGGGCAATCCCTTTCCAGCAGACATTTAATTCCACACTGCTTCGGGCTCTAGGTGCCCCCACCCCGTGACGTTTGCAGGGATGCTGGAGATGGGAGTGTCCTACCTGCCAGTCAATGGAAACTGGAAGAGGTACCTGGATGATGCTCAGGGCATCTATGAGGAGCTGCAGAAGGAGATGAAGAAGTCCTTGATGAACCTGGCCAACGATGCCTGTGAGCTGCTGCACGAGGAGAGGTACTTGTGGGCTGGAGGTGCAGGTCCTGCTGCTCACAGGACAGAGACTGCACGCCAGGTGGTCTGTGGGGGGCTTGGGCGAGTGGTGGGGACAGGAGCAAAGCTGAGGCATGACATCGGTGCGTCGGCAGGTACAAGGATGACCCCTGGCTCTGGGATCTTGAGTGGGACACGCAGGAGTTTAAGCAGAAAAAGAACCCGGTGAAGAAGAGGAAGAAGAAGGGTGAGGACGAGAACAGCAAAGCTGCTGTGGCGACGGTGGGCACAGACGAGTCCGTGCAGGAGTGGCAGGAAGGTGAGAGTGGGTGGTCCCTGGGGATGAGGGGTGCTCGGGGGGCACCTTCCCAGAGATGCCCTCCTACAGGTGCCCAGAGGAGGGGATGTGGCTGCTTGGAGCTGGCGGTGTGAAGCACCGCTGGCCTGTGTCCCTGCGCTGGGGCGTGTGGCTGGGTTCAGGTCTCTGTCAGGGCAGCATGGAGAGCTCTTTGCCAGCATGTCCTCCTTGCCCCACCAGACCCCGGGCCCCCTGCTGAGGACGAGGAGCCGAAAGCCTCTGCCAGCCAAGCCTGCCTGGAACGTCTGAAGGAGACGGTCGCGCTGCAACCCAAGAGGCTCCAGCACCTGCCGGGCCACCCGGGGTGAGTTGGGGACCTCGGGGGTCCCCGGGGCTTGGCCCGTGCTCTCTGACCCATCCCTGCTGCTCTGCAGCTGGTACCGCAAGCTGTGCCCGCGCCTGGGGGAGGAAGGGTGGGTGCCAGGGCCCAGCCTCATCAGCCTGCAGATGCGGG